CCCTAAAGTTTTGCTTTTTGTATTAGCTTTGAAATGAAACAACTACACAGTCTTACCATTTCTTTTGAAGTATTTCAACTTCTTTTTGTTGACTGAAACGATCGAGTCATCGCTCAATGCACACTGTCTGGTATCTTTGGTATATCCGAAGTATTTGCAGTCTTCTTCCTTGAGGCAGGCCGCGGCACACCTCAGGTAGGAGGCTCGTTGGCTTGACCGAATCACTCGATATTTGACGGTGCTGTTGAACTGTGAAGCCGTGAAATCCGAAGATTTCACGTTAGGGAGATCAGAGCCAGCTCCGCTCTGAACCATGTAGACAACAAAAAGAGCGAGGCACCAAACAAGACGACAATGTCTTGGGTGATAAATAGGAACATTCATTTCGTTTCGTTTAGGTTTGTTCAGCCATATAATTCTCACATGTAGCCTACTTCGAAACTGCTTTAGATTGTGTTTTAAACAGCGAACGGCGGAAGGCCGTATACTATACGCTGTCAATAATTAAACGCACGACTAGATTATGGATGTGACTAAGTCACACAATCGACGATAAACTGACGATTTAAGCCAGAAAATAGCCCATGGTCGCGGCAGATTAACGCAGTGGCAATAGCTGCGCTGCTGATAGCTTTTGCATACGTATTTGGCAAATGTATATTTTGTAATCTTAATAAGGTAATTGTGAATTTATGGAACGTCAATTTGGTCTAAAACTTGCCTCGATGGTTCAGGCTGGTACCATAGACATTTAAAATACCAGATTTGTAAAATCATATTTTTGACCAAAAATGATACCTTTAGACCAAAATGAGCCAAACAAAATCACATTTTTTTCAATTTTACAGCTCCACATCATGCCTAATCTGCAAGTAGACATGTTATTTTTTAGGCTTTCAAATGAGGTATGATGTAGGTGTGTGTGGTGTTGGGCAATAGACAAATAACCAAAACTGGTCTTCGTTTTGCTCGTAGAAAAACGATTCTGAGAAAAATGCACATTTTCACTCAATATTGCCTATAGTAACTGCACATTTTGTAATCTTAAGATGGTTATAATGAATTGATGGAACGTCAATTTGGTCTCAAACCTGCCTTGATAGTTGAGGCTGGTTCAACAGATATCGAAAATACCAAAGTTTTAAAATCATATTTTTGACCAAACATGTGGCTTTTAGACCCAAATGAGCCCAAAAACACATTTCTCCCAATTTCCAAGCTCCACATCATGCCTAATCTGAAAGTACACATATTAAGCTTACTATTGATGTATGATGTAGGTGTGTGGGGTGGGGCTTTAGGTCGACCCAAATTTGGATTCTGCCGCTCGCCTAATGGACTTGTTTACAACGTGCTCGCAAGGTGCATAGTCGTGGTCGCATATAAGTATCCTAGCTTACTGCTTGAAAATATGGTCCTCAAATAATTATTGATATCTGTTTGTTTTGAAAACGTGCCCCCCACAAAAAAACAGAGAAATGGTGCAAAATCTTTAAAGCATAATGGAAATGAAATGTTGAATAAGTGGAATACAAGTTTGCATTGTTCGTGTTGTTCCTCGTTGGTACATGTAGTTTCAAATTAATGTCTGTTCGCGCTTTATTTAAATGGCCCATGTAAGGCGAAGTAAAAAAAAAAAGTTTCTCGTCCGGGGTTTTTGAAAAAAGGGAGGAAGCGGGGCCTTTTATTTTTTATTTTTTATTTTTTTCAAGATGGCCGCCATTTAAAAATTTCCTGCAACCGTTGGTTGTGTCAACTGTTCAAAGAGACTTTTAAAATGAAAGACAAGTTGGACAAGAGAACTGAGCATATTTACAGTGTCGGAAAAAATTCGGTACTGGGCCACAACTTTTTTTCGATTAATTTTCAAGCGCCAAAAGTTGTATCCTTTGACTTACTTCATCAAGATTCGAACCTCGGACTTTTACTTGAAACACGAGACTCTTAACCGCTAGGCCGCGCACGATCGCTGTTGCAATAATCAATCTTTGGACGTATTTGAAGTAGCAATTGAAATAAACTAAATATTCATGAGAAATAAATATTCATAATGACGTATTGCACTATCATTGGCCGGCTCATGCGACGTCATGGTTGTCGATGTCATGCGTCATGCGTACCGCTGTCTGTCAGCCACACTTCAATCAGTTTTGACCGGCTGCTTCAACTATAGTTCCGCACGACGTGTGCATCCAAAATGGGCTCTAAAAACACATTTTGCCTATTTTTTTCCGCATTAACACAGCTTCCTGGATTCCTCTTGGGTGAAATCACTAGGTGAGGTGAAAATTGATGTGTTTAGCGGCAGGTAAAGTCGTGGCCCAGTATGGAATTTTTCCCACAGTGTCATTTAGAGTTGTATTGGTATTGGTATTTATTTTTCGATGAGTTTGTGGACTTTTTCGGTGTTTTTTTACTACATTTTTCAAAAATAAAAAATATTAAAAAAATCCAGGCGGCCTCCAAAAAGGAAGCGGGCGGGGACGAGAAACTTGGTTTTTTTTTTACTTCGCCTAACTGACTTTTCTTTCAATGCAATCCCTCAAATGCAGCCTTGTGCATCCATTATGTTCACACTGCCAAGGTTACAGTGTTTTTCCTGTTACAATGTTTTTCCTGGGCCTTAATTGTCGTGCATAAGTTATGAGCAAAACCGTGATGCCATTAGGCAGACGGAGTCTTCAGTGTCACAGCTGTTTCAGCATTGAAAGCTACCGGAATTTCAGGACGATTGCCGTGTTCTTGCTGTCTTTGATGTCTCGTTGTTAAGTACATGACAGTGAGTCACTCGAGCAAACTTAATGCACTAAGTAATGTTGGCAATGACAGCCGGAGCCCCATTAGGGGATACTAATTAATAATGTCACTAATAGACTGTAAAGTGCACCTACAGAAGTGAGAAGTGAGTTCACGGCAAAACGCCCTCAATTGTCAGGAAAAGAAAGTAACATTTTCAATGCCCCCAAAAAGTGCATTTTACCAAATTAAAGCCAAGAGGGGCAGCTCTTTATTTTCATATGCAGGTCACAGATGATGGATATCTCAACCTTATTATGTAAATTGCTGATATTGCAGCTATCCTGCCAGTTATTTTCTAAGATACCTCTAAACACTGTGAAAATTTAAAAGCCTCGGAGTGATTATTTTCGGGCTACTACCAGCAGCGAGTAAAGTTGGCCTGATTTTGTTTTGCATGTTTTTTTTGGAACTCGATCGGTCCCAGTCTGGAAAACAAGAGCCTGCTTCCTACATTCCCTGCAAAACGTGTTGTTTATTTTCGAATTCGGATCCCCAGAAAAGTGGTTTAAACTATTTACAGTGATGTATTAACAGTACTTTGATCAAAATTCAATGGTACGTTTCGAGGTTTTAATTGGCAATGTGACAACGAGATAGCACCCAAGTCAGTACGTTCACTCCGTTTGTTCGATTGATAATAAGGCATTTCATTCTAGCTGCGCGCCTTCAACACTGAAGCAATTCACACAATCTTGTCAAGGAGGAACGACCGTGACTTATCAGATTCTGAAATCATCCATCGAAGAAAAGCACGCCCTCTATCGCTAGATTATACTTTGACGGGAATGTATAAGTGCACACAGGAGTGCGCTATTTGGGGAAGTTAAACTCTTTCGTATTTACACACATTAACCCTCTGAAAAAACAAACGCCCGCATATTGTGTCGATGTCTGCCATAAAATAATCAAAAATGCTGATGGATTTTGAAAAGGCTGATGGATAGACAAACCACAAACAACTGCTACAACATGAGAAATATTACAACGCGCACAATGCAAGCATCCTGATGACATACCAGATTTCTCTCCAAAAGGCCCAACTATACTTCACTAACTTCGTCTTGTTTTCGTGGCCTCAACTTGTACCCATCCCATAATGCAATAGATCGCCTGAAGTGTTTGAGAACAACTTTAGATCCTGTTGATCGGGCTTAATGTGAAGAGTTTAGGGCGGGGAAGCACAGAGAGGGTTGGGTCACGGATCCTACACACAAGGATTAACGACTATGCGTGATAACGGCCCGTACTGGTGGCAAATACCATGAATAATGTACTTGTCAACAAGAGAAAACCGGCTTTCAGATTTGCAGGCTCTGCGTCCGATTTGCTGGTGTCGAAGTCTGTCAAGCCAGCTTATTATATTTTTGAATATTAATGAGTCTACTTTTTGATTGAATTCTGATAAGTAATAACTACATCACCATGTTAACGCCGAGCACAGTATCTCTAGCTTCAAAATGAACTATGAAATGTCGCATTTGTTTTATCGGTTCGGGACCACATCTCTCTCAAACGTTTTAATGAAAGCCGAATTAACAACGAAATTTGGGTAAACGGTGTTCTCCTCGAAATTAGACGTTTATTTCCCGGGTAAATACTTCATCTATGACGACAATAACTGCTAAGTACTATCTGTTATATCCTGAAGTACATAATTTTTTTTTTACAATTTTGGAACTTACATAACGAGTAGTTTTGCTCACAGTTTTTTGAGTTTTACAAAATTAAGTCCCCTTTCCCTTACATTTATTTACAGGCAAATTACAGGCGTACTTTTAACAACAAACAGGAGGAAAAGAACAGCTATAACAAGATCACTTGTACGTTGGTACCTTGTACCTAAGGCCAACTCCTTCCAATTTACGAGAACGTTAGTCGTGGAGTTTGCGGGCAAGGTAGCGCTACTAAGCTTACTAGACGGCGCGTGGAAAGCAGTGAAGCTGGTCATGTCGGGCGTTTTTTTGTCATTCAAAAGATGGTTTCCAAAAAAAATTTAAAAATTGCTTTATTATATAACAAAAATTATGTTCATTTTTAAACTGAACACAACTGAACACAAAGGGAATAAAACCATAATTTGTTGCCCTGAGTGAGTGGCCACGTTTATCATTGGCCGATTTAAACACTTTTCTCCGGTGTTTAAAAGAGAATGGAGCCAGCCATAATGGCGATGCTCTTTACCAATGAAAACTATCATATATATAAATGAATGCTAATTAAAAAGTTAGAAAAAGCTTGACTTCACTTGACATTTTTTTGTTACCATACAGTGACATTTTAAAATCAAACTACGTGTAGAACTCTGAGTATAGACCTACTGTTTTATGCAACATCAATCTCACCAGGCGTATTGTAACTACAAAATCAGTAAAAAGATGGGTTTCAATTATCGATTCCTTTCGATATCGATTATTTCCTGTCCAGTTATCGACTAATTCAATCAAAGTGATTAATAGCAGCCAATCACTTCAAACCTCATGCTACAATGCTTGTTCCATGCAGTGGGGTGAATGTGCAGGATTCGGGTGCGCAATGCCAATGGGAACCGTGCGGTTACCATCGTGTTCCTGTCCGAGTTACCAGCGAACTGCAACAAATCAAAATGGTTGACTTGTTTAGCGCACCCTGTCGTGCCAAGTTATTATCATTATTGTATTCAAGGACTACTTATTGTGATGGTAAATATTGCTGCACAGCAAGAAAATGGGATTTTTTTCATCACCATAGAACCGAGTTATCTGTGCTACGGTTTTACTCCATTTTATTATTAAAGACACAAGCTTCACCTCCCAAATTTCGATTGGTCTGAGATATTTTAACCGAGATAAGCAGGGTTTTCCAAACATCGGCTTTCTCCCCAGCTTCGGGTCCCTCTGTTGCTCCTGAATCATAATAAAACCTTATAATATCGAATTCTTACATGAGTATTTGGTGTTCATATTTTGGGCTTGTTGAACCGACGTCATTCAAGGGGCAAGTCTTCTGCAGCCATGTTCGGAGTTGAAGTCGAGATTTGAAAAACCACGAAACTATTTAACAGTGATTACTATACCTTTATTTGTGTGCCAAACGCATCAGTCACTTGATCCCAGGACTGAGCGTCATCACTGTACGACACTTGGTGCTCTGTCACCCATTGGTTGTATCGATCACCACGCCCCTGGGTGATCAAACCAGTGATGGTGACTGTACCATTGAAGTCAACCTGTATCCATGGACTGTCTTCAGATCCATCATCACACCAGGCTGCAGCTAATCCTGTTCAACAAAATAACTGACTTTATAACACCTCATCCACAGATTCTGTGTCTTGATTGGCCGAGAGCGAGTCACATGGTACTTTCTATTTTTGCTATTTTTCTGTACACGGCCAAAAGTACTTTACCCGTGGCAACCAAAGTACTACCATAATGGCAATCAAAGTACTATCCGGTTCGTAAGTGTGACGTCATCTCAACTTAACCATGCGTACTTGTACTTCACGTTGTGAGCATAGCACGAACGGAACCGGTGCCATTTGAAAATCGGACTCGTGTGAAAATCGGACTCTTTTTTCCTTTTATTGGTTAAACCCTCTCACGTGACCGGTCCCTCTCCTAATTATCTATGCATGAGCGTGCGCAATACCATCAATGAGTCCGTATTTCATAAAACATAAATTCATGCTACACCGGAGGCAAATTGAGTGTTTAGCCAATGGGCGCTTGTAATCAGTGGTTCGCGCGTGTGTATGACGTTTTACTAACAACCGGAGAGAGTACCGAAGTAAATATACATCACGTGCACAATAATGGTGTGTGTAAAAGTCGTTAACGCGCAACCTCGTCCCCAGTGCTTTCTTTATTTCCAACCTCGTTTCCAATAGTAAGCCCTGGATAGGAAACTTTCTTCCTGTATCCTGATTCGTTGCCGCAATTGGCTAATAATGAATTTATATCGTATAGTTGGTGTTTCCAACATGCATTACGTGTTTTCACGATCATTGTAATTATAACGTCCACGCCTTCTCAATAATACTCCTTTTCTTTCCAGTTTGCTCATATAGTAATATGATATGTGATACTGCATATTGGTGGGCCAGATTGTAACATTTTAACTTCCAAAAAATTGTGTTTTCTAATTCACGGCGCGACGAATTGATGCTGTTTTTACCCCAGACACCGCATACAAAAAGAAACGCTAATGTAACGCACATGCAGGTACCAGATTATTCCTCATTTGCATACGTGTGCAAAAATCTTGCACACACGGATCCAATACCAGGGTGATAGAGCAGGTAGTGGTGGGCGCGTACTGCACGACACCCTGGGGCCGAGGTTGATTAGCGCGTGATTCAGCCCGTGAACCAACACGCGCACGTACTCCATTCGTTTGCATGCACTACACTTCCCGGTTCAAAATGACTTCACAATTCAGTACTCAATACCCAGGGCGCGGTATTACATGACCAAAGAAGGTCACAATAAAGAACTCTACAAGAAAACCAACGAGATGTCTTGGAGTAAAGCCATTACCAGGAGACGTCTTAGGTAGACAGGCCATCTCCTGAGACTGCCCGAGGAAACACCTGCAAGCGCTTCTAGAAGCGATCCGCAAGAACAAATAGCTGCCAAGAGGTGGATAACGAACCACGTGGTTGAATACAGTAAACACGGACCTGACAACCACGGGGGTCAACATCAAAGATCAACACACCTGGCACGTGGCATCAGACAGTGAGCAGCGGAGGACACTTACAGAGTGCGTGTCAGTATACAAATAACGAATGTTTGTGAGTGCGATGGTAAGAATAATATCATGAGGTGACAGATTGAATGTTCTATTCCACGAGGCGAAGCCGAGTGGAATAGAACATTCAAGTGGAATAGAACATTCAATCTGTCACCGAATGAAATTATTCTTTCCATCGCACGAACGTAAAACATTCGTTATTTGTTTTATACAACACCTGAATAAATTCTCGTCATTTGATTGGTAAATTATAAACTACAATTTATTTTGATTTTAAAGATGTTGAACTACCCCTTCACGAAAATGTTTGAACCCAACGCTGTAGCGCTGGCTCTTTGGAACAATACGCGCTACGCTGAACGCGCACACCAGCATGCATTTTGCACGCAAATACCGCGTCATGGAACAAGCGCAAAGTGAAACGGTATAACGCATGGGTATAACGCATGGTCGCACCGTGCATTATACCGAATAATAATATGTCACGTGATCTACAATTCACAAATCAGATGACGGGGATTTATTCAGGTGTTGTATAAATCTACTTGACGCAAGCTCCTGGATGATGGCGCGGTATTATATTTTTGTGCAAATGCTGGTGTGCGCGTTGAGCGCAGCGCATTATTGTTCCCAAGAGAGCGCACCACTGAGTTAGGTTCGAACATTTCATGAAGGGGGCGGTTTGGAAGAGAGAAATACATTTCCCACCAATTTTGTATTGAAATTGAAGTTTCTTTTAACTGTGTTAAGATTTAAATAATTTAAAATATTAAAACCAAGCAGAATATGTGGGTGAAGTGTTTAAAACAAATATTGAATGCTTTATCTCGTGGTGAAGTTAAACTAGCCCCCCTCGGTGATCCATGGAGCATTCTATTTCATGGATCACCTTGGGAGGCTAGTTTTACTCATAGAGCTATATTCAGCGCTAACTCATGTACAAAGTGATGCCTGCTGGGCGCATCCATGTTTGTACACAACAGTGTTGTAGGTCTCGAGACCGGTCTCGGTCACGGTCTCGAGACCACTTTTTGCCAGTCTCGGTCTCGGTCTCGGTCTCGGTCTCGGGAACTGTGGTCTCGGTCTTGGTCTCGGTCTCGGTCCCCTTTGGTCTCGATATTTTGGCTGGTCTCGAGTCGAGACCAGCCAAAAAGTGAGGGGGCGGATTCCGCCCCCGGCCCTTTTAGGGTTAAGTAAAGAATCAGTTTAGGGCAAATGTGACTGCGGTGTGATGCTAATGGACATGTCTCTCTTCACTTTCTAGTGAGTGAGGCATAGTCCAATAACCATTGCTCCTCTTCTTATTTCTCGTTTTTATTGTGGGATGATCTGTTGAAACAAGCACTTTATAGCCATCCTCATTGATTCCAAATACAACTGAGATTTAAATCTTATGAATCAAGACTGAAACATTATTTTTACCGTCAGATTCTGTATTTTGAATATGGGGAACAATTTAACTCTTTTTCCCTAGAAATATTGGTGATTTTTTTTTCTATTTTCCTTTTCAATTTTTCCTTTATTCGTGGGGGCGGGAAAACGTTTTTTTTTTCCATTATATTTATTAATGGATATTCATCAATTCGTAGACCGTTAAATTGGTGTTAGTGGTGGACAGCTGAATTTTGTGATCTCTTTATTAAAATAGACACGACTTGGGAATAGAGTATGCAAATTACGTGAAATGTTCACAGTTACTACTCAATAACATGTTCTTTATCCCAATTATATTTTTTACAAAATGGAGCGTGCCATTTTTTTTATCATACGGTCACTTTCTTTAGACTCGCCATGTATTCATCTTTTCATCTGTGATAAACACAAATTGAGCTACTGCCATGGTCACACAAAAATAGAGTCTAATTGCCTGTCTCGTCTCCTTCCTAAATGTCAATTGCATTTGCATGAGTCGAGAAGAATTGTGTTCCATTACTCGCAATATGTCGTACTTGTATTCATCTTTTCATCTGTGATAAACACACATTGAGCTACAAAAATAGAGTCTAATTGCCTGCCTCGTCTCCTTCCTAAATGTCAATTGCATTTGCATGAGTCGAAAAGAATTGTGTTCCATTAATCGCTATATGCTGTTTACAGCCATCACAATAAACTATTAATATATTGGCAATATGTCGTACTTGTTAACAGTGGCGGAGATTTCTTGTTACAGGTGGGGGGGGGGATGATTTTTGAAAGGCCATCCTTGTGTGGAACGCGACACGGCACGGGGTCCAAGAAACCGCTGAAGGGCCCCCTGGTGGGTTGCAGGCGCAAAGCCCTTGCAAGGGGTTGAGGTAACCCCCCCCCCCTGGAGCCCCTGGGGTTCACACAATTTTAGGTGCAAAATGGTGTCAAAATTCAATCTTTTCTTGAGCTTGAATTGCAATAAATGACAATAATTAACACTTTCAAGCATAAACAAATACAAAAGATCTTCAAAACTAAAATTTCTCATCCAATGTATTTGGAAGTGTAGGCCTAAGCTATCTTTGCACAATGGAGCTCTGGTCACCTAGCAACACAAATAATGCCTATGCATTATTTTAAGTATAATTATTTACAAAATAATTAATGCAAAATAATGCCTAGATGCATTTTGGTAAGGTATGATTAGAATGTGACGACAGTTGCGTAGCCAGGATTTTTTCATGGGGGGGGGGCCGCTGGGGGAGGCTGGAACATTTCATGGGGGGCGTCATGTAGGGGTGTCAATCGCTTCTCAAAAGTGGGGGGGGGGACATACCTTGATCAGAACTGATGCGAGCGCGAAGCGCGAAGCGCGAAGCGCGAAGCGCGAAGCCCTTACGGCGTGGGGGTTCGGGGCCCGCTTAAGGGCTCCGAAAAAATTGGATTCTAGATGTTCTGTGGTGTGATCTGAAGCAATTTCTTACCACTTTCCTCCATGCTTTAACTAATATTTTCTTAGCAAAAGATAATTATTTGAACATCGTTTTCGAGGTTGGAGTCATTGAATCAGCTATCGGTATTCTGAGCTATATGCGTGGGGTTCGGGGCCCGCTTAAGGGCCCCGAAAAAAATTGGTTTCTCGATGCTCTGTGGTGTGATCTGAGGCAATTTCTGACCACTTTAACCAATAATTATCTTAGCACAAAAGATAATGTTTTCTCAGCTAAAGGCATAAGAAAAATTTTTGAACATTGTTTTCGAAGTTGGAGTCATTGAATCAGCTACCAGAATTCTGAGCTATAGGCGTGGGGTTCGGGGCCCGCTTAAGGGCCCCGAAAATTTTTGGATTCTAAATGCTCTGTGGTGCTATCTGAGGCAATTTCTGACCACTTTAACCAATATTTTCTAAGCAAAAGATACATTGTAGTACATAATAGGGCCCTGTAAATGAGACACGAGTTCAAAAATCTGGGGGGGGGGGGGGACATTTCATATTGTGTCCCCCAACCTTCAAAAAGGGGGGGGGGGACCAGTCCCCCTGTCCCCCAGGATTGACGCCCATGGCGTCATGTAGATCAATGATAATTTTTTTAGAAACTCAAAACCTCAGTGGGGGGGGGGGGGGGGGGGGCGACTGGGGGGGGGGGTGACAAGGTTTCATGGGGGGGGGGCTGTCGCCCCCAACGCCCCCCCCCCCCCCGTGGCTACGCCACTGATTTCAAGGAATTTTAATTGGTCTATTATTATTATTTAGCTTATATGAATGGAGGAAAAAGTTTGTGCGTGGCCGATTCGCGTGATATCGCTGACTGAAACTGTGTGACCCACGGACCACCTGTCTATAATACGTGTTCCGTGGTGTGGGCGAGCAGTGCAGTGGGTGTTAATACGCATTTTAGATTATCATTATGCGCTATGTCACGCCGGTTGTCAGCTTACTGGTCCGCGGTCGCCGGTCGAAGGGTCGTTTCTCAATGGTCATCATGTGGATCATTCGCGACTATTTAGATTTAGATCAATGATAATTTTTTTAGAAACTCAAAATCTCAGTGAGGGGGGGGGGGGGGGGGCGACTGGGGAGGGGGGCGACAAGGTTTCATGGGGGGCGGTCGCCCCCACGCCCCCCCCCCCCCGGTGGCTACGCCACTGCATGCATGAGAGAGTTGTTGCGGCGGTCCTGTTTATAATCCTCTGCTAATGAATACATGTACATAAAATGGTGCGGCTTATACGATGGTGCGGCTTATACGCTGCGGCTTATACGATGGTGCGGCTTATACGCTGTGGCCTGAATCTTATTCTGAAGTTTTTGGAGCGCTGCGGCTTATACACAGGGCGGCTTATATTCCAAAAATTACGGTAAGCGAACGACACTTGCACTTGCTGGGCTGCGGTGCTGGCCTGTCAAAGGGTATTGGCAAGTTACGGACCCTGCCCAAATTAGTACGCCTGCCTTTAAAAAGTGGGGGGGGGGGGGGGGGGGGGGATGATTACATTGGTCATCCCCCCTGGTCAAAAGGTGGGGGGGGGATATATCCCCCCATCCCCCCCCCCCGGGATCTCCGCCCATGCTTGTTAATCACTAAAATATTCAAGTAAATTGCCCAGCAAAGTAGCCGATGCGGGTGATACGATGGCACGGTAAAAAAACACAGAGAGGCGTGGGCACTGAGCCATGAATCCTAAAAGTACATCTCACCCACCACAGTCAGTTTGTGACAGCGCCCTTCTATTGTGTCGGCCATATTCTCAAATAGGCTAATGGCGATGATGACGGCGGGCAGATTAACAGAAGATAGATCAGGCAAATATGGTTCATCGAACTTCTATAGTTCATGTAATGGTATTGACATTAAACAAAAATAAAGTGGCATTACATTTCAGCCTTAGCCAGGCCTTCTTCAGAGGTAAATGACAGAGGAACAACTGAAGAAACAAACATGTAGGGGACACACAAACATGCAGGGTTGGAAGGAGAATCACAAAGAGGGAGGGGGGGGGGCAGACCAAACCATATCTGTCTGGCAACCATCTCTCAATTTTTGGTCTACATGTACAAATCTATATTCCATGACTGAAATTTTAAAAAATAAATCAATATTTTCTTGCTCCAAATTGTTTTCGAATCAGGTTTACAAGGAGGTCCAATGTAAAATTAAAGTTGCATTTAAATATCCGTTAGTGGTCATTGCTGAAACCAAGGGGTGGCTGTGGAGTTTAGGGTCCAAGTTCCTATAACAGATGAAACATCCACCTTTATTTTTTTACTTTTGTCAAGTTTCAACATGTTCAAGTTTTGCAAAAACTAGTACAAATTGTCGTACTCCTAAGTTAGAGTTTCTTCATCAGATTTACACTTTATAGTAGTTGAACAATATTTAAAAATTTTTTTTTTTTAAAGTGGCAAAAATATATGGAGTTTATCAAATAAGTTTTCCCCCTTCTTTAAATTAGGTTGTTTCCAATTTTTTTAATTGATTGTGACAATAACACATTCTGTTGCCATGTTGTAATTTATGGCATGAAGCAAACACGAAGAGCACTCGCATGACACAATTAAGCAGGTACAAGTGATTCCTAACTTTCAATCACTTCCTTCACATCCCCATGAACATCAACATCTCAAGCACAGACTGTTCAGCTGTAATTAGGGTCTTGTTGTTTATTTAGATTATTGTTATTTATTATCCGCGGTCTCGGTCTCGGTCTCGGACCATTTCGGTCTCGGTCTCGGTCCACCTTGAAGGGGCTGGTCTCGGTCTCGGTCTCGGTCTCGCAACTTCAGGTCTCGGTCTTGGTCTCGGTCTCGGACTATCCGGTCTCGACTACAACACTGGTACACAAACCTATGGAGAACTCGAAATGTTGTACTTTTTTTGTAAGTCTATTTGCATATCTGCGTTTGTATTCCATACCGGTGGTTATCGAAGCCAATACGCCAAAAACCGAAACACACGATCAGCAAATGAGCGTGTCATTTTGCTCTACGCTTTCACCATGGTCTATTATACACAGACTAGGGGGTACCCCGGGGGAACGGACATCCGCTGCCCCCCCCCCCCCCCCCCGTAGTTACGCTACTGCATTTTCTTAATAAAGTTCTTCGTGTAGCACTTTCAAAATCTAGGATATGAAAGCCCAATTAATAAGATTTTTGTAGTACAAGAATCATTCGAATCACTCAGGCACTTTTCAAGTTACGGAATTTTAAACACAACCCCCGTTTTAAAGTTCTGACCACGGATCACCACAAAAAAGTGTGTGTTCTTTCAGCAAAACGAAAACAATGCACACACATCCCTGTGCAAATTGTTTTCGTTTTGCTGAAAGAACACTTACTTTTTTGTACTTGAAAAGTACATATGATTTGAATGATTCTTCTACTAAAAGAAAGTTTATTAATTTGGCTTTTATATCATACATTTTTGATATTGCTACATGCAGAACTTTATTGAAATAAATTGGTCGTGCCATTTGGGTTTCCTTATTTATTTTTTTACTCGCCCTGTATATATAGGGAAAAAATGAAATGAAAACGAAAGCAAATATATTTTTCGAGGTGAAACTCGAAAATAACACGGGAAACATGTATTTAATCTCACTAAATCCAAAAAGCCTACCTTGAGTATGAAGCCTGGCCCTGGGTGGGGCATGAGTAGGGAGGTTTCTGTAGAATGACGAAGCTGTGATGCTTTCATCCGGAATGCGACCATCTTCCATCCCAAGAGGTCCCTCCACGGAGCAAGGAGAGTCACCTGAGGAAAAGGTGCGATCGCTTTGAGAAGTTTTGTACAAAGTAACCATTAATATATTTTTTTAAAGAACATACAGTGAAATCTCGACAATACAAGTCAAACTCTGATAACTCAAAACCGTCAATCCATTCCCTTCAGTAGTATAACAATGATATACAACCCTGCTCAACTCAAAACTCTCCTGAAGTCAAATTTTGAACCTGTTCCCTTGAGGTTTGGCTTATCAAGATTTCACTGTAGTATTGGTCTATTTGCAAGTGAAAGTTCAACGGGGAAGAAAGAATCGTTTTCTTCCGTTTAATGGCACGAGTAGATAGTTTCGGATGCATAATTATGTGCCTCTTCCATCCTGCTCAACATTGAAAAACCAGAGCTTTGTCAATCCAAAGTGTGTGTCCTCTTCAGTAACAAGAGGACCCAAATGAGTTGCCTAAATATACCTATCACAAACATCTTGGGAAACATAAAGATCATATGCTTATTTATATTATAATTATTCTTCGACGGCTTACCAGGATTTCAATTACAGTAAAAACAAAAATCCCTTCAAGTGCTGCTTGTTGCATTAGCTTTGAGCCTTTGAAATGAAACAGTAACACAATCTCACCATTTCTTTTGAAGTATTTCAACTTCTCTTCGTTGACTGAAACGATCGAGTCATCGCTCAATTCACACCGTCTGGTATCTTTGGTATAACTGAAGTATTCGCAGTATTCTTCCTTGAGGCAGGCCGCGGCACACCTTAAGTAGGAGGCTCGTTGGCTTGACCGAATCACTCGATATTTGACGGTGCTGTTGAACTGTGAAACAGCCGTGAAATCCGAAGATTTCACGGTAGGGAGATTAGAGCCAGCTCCGCTCTGAACCACGCAGACAACAAAAAGAACGAGGCACCAAACAAGACGACAATGTCTTGGGTGATAAATAGGAAAATTCATTTCGTTTCGTTTAGGTTTGTTCAGCCATATAATACTCACATGTAGGCCACTTCGAAACTGTTTCAGATTGTGTTGCAAACAGCGAACGGCGAAAGATCGTATACTACGCTGGCAATATTAAAGGCACGAGTTTTATTGATCACCAAGTCACAATCGACAATAAACGGATGATTAAAGCCAGGCCCGTGGTAAAAAAAAAGCAATGACAATAGCTGCGCTGCTAATAGCTTTCTCGCACGCATAACGTGTTCCGGCATGCGCATTGTCACTGCTTGAAAAAAATGAAGGTCTTCAAAATAACTACTGAGACCTATTTATCTTGAAAACCTCCACACAAATATTGAAGAAGTCGACTTCAAGTTTGAATAGGCTTTGTCGTTCCTCTCGTTTACACTTAACTGGAGGAGATTGAATTCTAACGAAAGGAAGCAATAGTCAATCGGACATTTCGTTGACAAGCTGTATGGTTGTTTAAAGTTTGCATTTATTTACATGTCAAAAGGAAATACTGAGAAAAGGCCTTTAAAGTTTCGATTGTTTTGCAGTCGTGATGATAAAAGATATCATTTCTTGTTTACCTTTAAAACACTTTTTTTCACGATTTTATACCATTTATTTAAAAAATGTGTAGTAAACATATCAAAGATTGCAAATATCAATAAATAAACATCGAGAAAAAAATACCCCCATTGTTTGTGTTTTTTTTTTTTTTTTGGGGGGGGTTTGGTATATTTTTTTCCACTGCGGCTGTGCTCATGCCGTTTCCTCTTATTTTGCCAAAATGCCTCATAAATATTATGTTCGCAAAGAGGGGAAGCCTTACACTTTAACCTTCTCCAGTTATTGGCAACATGAACGAGTTCCCATACCAGGGGCGGCGGAACGGGGGCGGGGGGCAGGGGGGGGGGGGCACTGCCAGATTTTCCCAAGTGCCGTCTTGCGGACATAAATGTGGCCCCTCGAGCATAAAACTCACATTTCGCATAATTTGTTTTCAATAACCATTTCCTAAAACCCTAACAATGCGCCCTGAAAATGGGCACATTATTCGTAGTTTGCATAATGGCCGGTTTTGAAGAGCGCCCCCTATTTTGGAAGATTGTACCAGCACCCCCCCCCCCCCCCCCCCCCCCCACGCCACTATTTAATTTTACGGAGGCCAAGTGTCCGGTGAAAAAAAACTTGTCGACATTTCAGGACGGATGTGCAAAAAAATACCAAAAATGCTTGATACGCTGCTGCACCAGCGAAATATGCCTTTGTGCCCTTTTTGGTGATGCCCCTCCCCGTTTTGAAACGTTCCACCGCCGCTGTCCCATAGGTATTTGAAGGCCTCGGCTTTATTGCTCAAAAATTAATTTCAGTTTAATACTTCACAACAAAAACACAAGGTATTATATAGTGAATCTTCATGCATTCGTGCATTTCACCGGTGACCGGTTTAAACACTTTTCTGCGGTGTTTAAACGATGGTTTAGAGCCAGCCACATGGCGATGCTCTTTACCAAAAAGAATGGAGAAACTACCATAATGTATAAATGAATGTTAAATAAAAGTAAGAAACAGCTTGACTTCACTTGACATTTTGGTTACTTTAAAAAGTTTATCACACAGTGAAATTTTAAATCAAACTACGTGTAGAGTTCGGAGTAGACCTACTGTTTTATGAAACATCAATCTCACCAGGCGTATTGTAACTACACAATTAATATAAAGATGGGTTTCAATTATCGATTCCTTTCGATATCGATTATTTCCAGTCCAGTTGTCGACTGATTAAATGCGATTAATAGCAGCCAATCACTTCAAACCTCATGCTGCAATAGTTGTGCCATGCAGATGGGTGAATGCGTAGGATTCTGGTGCGCAATGCCAATGGGAACCGAGCGGTTACCAACGTGCTTCTGTCTGAGTTACCAGCGAACTGCAACAAATCAAAATGGTTGACTTCTTTAGCGCACCCTGTCGAGCCAAGTTATTATCATTATTTTATTTGAAGGCAATACTTATTGTGACGGTAAATATTGCTACATGGCAAGAAAGTGGGATTTTTTTATCACTCGAACCGAGTTATCAGTGTAAGGATTTACTCAATTTTATTATTTAAGACACAAACGTCACCTCCTAACTTTCGATTGGTTTGAGAGATTTTAACCAAGAAAACAGGGTTTTCCAAAGATTCTCTTGTTGAACCGACGTCATTCAAAGGGCAAATCTTCTGAAGTCAAATCCGGAGTTGAAGTCGAGATTTGAAAATTCACAACACTATTTCAACAATGAATCCTTTACCTTTATTTGTCTGCCAAACGCATCAGTCACGTGATCCCAGGACTGAGCGTCATCGCTGTACGACACTTGGTACTCCGTCACCCGTTGGTCGTATTCGGAGTCTCCGCGCCCCTGGGTGATCAAACCAGTGATGGTGGCAGTACCATTGAAGTCAACCTGTATCCATGGACTGTCTTCATATCCGCCATAGCACCAGGCTGCAGCATATTCTATTCAACACCATAAAAGATACTAGGGCAGTAAATCTGGCTCCAATATGAAGTTGTTTAACCACAGTCCCATTATCTGCGAACCATCGCTATAGTCGACCATAATTATAGACCAGTCGAAGTCGACTATTCGGGACCAGCCCATACCGAGTAGTCTGAGTATCAAACGTCCTACAACGGAACCCTTTCCGTATCGAACATGTGATATATTTGAGCAATGCAAATTTTATGCGACCCCACACGCCAGCCAATCGGAGTCGACTTTAGAAATTGGGACGTCAGTCGGATCAGAAATGTGGAATAAGCTATTGATTGGTCAATTTGGATGACATGTTTTTGTAATACAGCAACGGGTTACGGTTTCGAGTGTCCCTCTGAAAATTGCAATGCATTTTGCGCATAAATTAATACCCCCCCCCTGCAAAAGCCGATTATTATTTTACAGCTTATCATTCGAATTATGTGAAGAAATAATTTAATCATACGTCGGTGGATTTCAAAAGTGAATAACTTGTTTACTGCTAAAAACAAATGAAATGAAAGAGCGAAAATTTTTTTTCGGTGAAACTCGAAAATAACACTGGAAGTGTAGATTGAATGTCAAATTAAACAAACCTACCTTGAGTATAAAGTCTGGCCTTGAGTGGGCCATGATCAGCTTGGTTTTTCCAAACAGACGAAGCTGTGATGCTTTCATCCGGGATGCGACCATCTTCCATCCCAAGAGGTCCCTCCACGGAGCAAGGACAGTCTCCTGAGGAAAAGGTGCGATAGTTGTGAGAGGTTTTGTACAAAATAACCATAACAAAACACCAACATAATCTATTTGCCAAGTAAACGTTAAACGAGAGGGGGGGGGGGGTAGTTGTATTCAGTGGCGTCACCAGACTTTTCAGCTGGGGGGGCACAGGGGGGGCAGCATTTGATGGGGGGCACTTAGGGGTACGGATCGCCGCCTGGGGGAGGGTCTGAGGTCCCCTTTGAAAATTTTCGCATACGGAGGATGGGCTAGATGCAAAAGCCACATTGATGCAAACGATCTGAAGAATCTCCAGAAATTGCTATTTACCAATCAGATGATCTGAATATAAGTTTACCAACCCAAATCTCAGATGGCACAGGGAATCCAGGGGGGGCACGTGCTGTTGGCGACACTGGTTGTATTCGGTTTAAAGTGGCACGAGCAGAAAGTTGGCACGAGGACGAGCAGAAAGTGCCTCTCTCAACCCGCTCAACAATGAAAAACCAGAACTTTGTAAATCCAAAGTGTGTTCTCTTTTGAGTAAAAGGAGCACCCAAAAGAGTTCCCTGCAAATTGGACTCTCCGTACACAATCATCTGGGAACCACTAAAGATGAATGCTTTTTATTACAAAATGTGTTTCGACGGCTAATACAGGGTGTACATGTATAATAAAGGGAAACCCGATGCAAATCTAATAAAATATTCTAATAAATATTCTATAAACATCATAAAAAATATAGTAATTTTTTCAAATAAGTTAAAGATCATGTGAAACGCCAATGTGTCCTCTTTCCAATGATACCTCGAATGCGTGTCTGTGGCTACGATTGACTGAGCATTCGTTATTATTCTGTCAAGGGTCAACACTGCACTGGGCCAAGTTTGTGCAAAAGGGTAACTGGTATTCTCGGCATGTGGATCGGTTTAATTTAAAGAAAGAAATCCTCCTCTTTAAAACCATCTATTTAATTTTGACACAGCGATTTGACCATTCTCAGTTGTGAAGTTTAATAACCCATAATGGCCAATGCCTTCAACGTGGCCGTCACCTCTTTCCACACAAAGCTCTGCACGAAGTCTAGTCCATTTCAACCTTTGCATAACAAACCAGCAAGCAATCTTAGCTAGGTAAAACTTAACCCAGTGCAGGTTTTGACCCTTGACAGAATAACAAGGAATGCTCAGCCATCCGTGGCCAAAGACACGCAATCAAGGTGTCATTGGAAAGAGGACACATCGGCGTTTCACATCTTTAACTTATTTGAAAATAATTATTTTTTATTTTTTAATTTACATTTACATCTGGGTTTCCTTTTTTGATACACCCTGTGTATAAAGATTTCAATTACACTTGAAACAAATCTCTCAAGGATCATTTACTCATCATGTAATTTATTCGATTTCAATTAATAACACCACTCAAAACCAAAAGAAGTCTTTTGAAAACCTAACCTGTTGAAGTTTCAGCTCAGTGGATATTACACTTTTCAAGAAAACAGTGGAAAACCATACACAACCTTTTGATTACGAAAAACCATTTCGTTTATTATCTCTTTCATTTTCGAAAGATCTGTCAATAATTGACTGATCGGTGGAAATCAACTACATTTCTTGACTTCTTCTAAATGAAAGCAATCCAGCAGACGAAATAATTTCACAGAGTGTTTAGAACCGGTACAATCTTTGATCCAGGTATATAGCTTTTTGATAAAAATACTGTAATAATTCTTTGGATAAATGCAAATTTCCCTATGTAAATGTGCCTTTCAAGTTCAGTAAGTTGTATAAGCTTTGAAATGAAATAACACCACAATAAGAAGGTCTTACCATTTCTTTTGAAGTATTTCAACTTCTCTTTGTTGACTGACACGATCGAGTCATCGCTCAATTCACAGCGTCTGGTGTCTTTGGTATAACTAAAGTAGCTGCAGTCTTCTTCCTTGAGGCAGGCCGCGGCACACCTTAAGTAGGAGGCTCGTTGGCTTGACCGAATCACTCGATATTTGACGGTGCTGTTAAACTGTGAAACAGCCGTGAAATCCGAAGATTTCACGGTAGGGAGATTAGAGCCAGCTCCGCTCTGAACCACGCAGACAACCAAAAGAACGAAGCACCAAACAAGACGACAATGTCTTGGGTGACAAATAGGAAAACTCATTTCGTTTCGTTTAGGTTTGTTCAGCCATATAATACCCACATGTAGCTACTTCGAAACTGTTTCAGATTGTGTTGCGAACAGCGAACGGCGAAAGATCGTATACTACGCTGGCAATAATTAAAGGCACGAGTATATTATTGATCACCAAGTCACAATCGCCAATAAACGGATAATTAAGGCCAGGCCCATGGTAAATTAACGCAATGACAAAAGCTGCGCTGCTAATAGCTTTCTCGCACGCATAACGTGCTCCGCCTGCTCCGGTGTGACAGGTAATTCTGTCCCCCCTGGTAAATGTGTCCCCCGGACACATTTACCGGCTCGTGACCGGTAAATGTGTCCGGGGGGACACTTTTACCTAGGTAAATTTGTCCCTCTCCAGGTAAAAATGTCCCCCTGCCCAACGGTGAAAGTGTTCCCCTGGTAAATGTGTCCCCATGCAGTATGTACTGAGAGCAGCAGCGTGTCGCACGCGCCAGTACATGCTGCAAGATTTGAGGCAGTGATTATAACATGTGTACAAATGCGTCTCCCTCTACAATGGAAATTCGTCCAATAGGAAATTTCGTTACGCGCTATGATGGGAACACAGACCAATCCAAGGAGACGCGTTGTATCATACTATCAATGATACGAGGGCCATCGCCATGCATCGCCGCTGTGTTAACCTATCGCGGTAGAATCACGATAGACTTCACCGTACTCCGAATCGAAACATTGTGTTCACGTATCATCTAATAGACTAAATTAATTATTTTTTATATTCATGAAGGGCAGACTAAAAGTCCAAAAATGTATACCTTGTAGAGTGAATTCATCAAAAACAATAACATTCTGGGTTTCAAAAGAGGGGGACACAAAAACCTGGGGGACAGAATTACCTGGAGGGGACATAATTACCTGGAAGGGGGACAGAATTAACGGGCCACGGAGGACACTTTTACCTAGGTAATTCTGTCCCCCCCCCCCCGGACACTTTTACCGGGGGACAGAATTACCTTTCACACCGGCATGCGAATTTTCACTGTTTGAATAAAATGCAGGTCTTCAAAATATTTACTGAGACCTATTTATCTTGAAAACCTACACACAAATAATGAAGAAGTCGACTTCAAGTTTGTATTGTCATTGTTGTTCTTCTCGTTTGCACTTAACTGGAGGAGATTGAATTCTAACGAAAGATATTAACGGCACGCGTATTTGTCGCTTATACCAAGTCACATTCGTATACATAACTGCGTTCGGAACGTTGAGAGTTTCCAACTAATGTCTTTTGGCGAAATGGCTCATGTAATTGATTTTTTTTTCAGCGCAATCTACTTAAGCATCCTTGTGCTCCTTGTAATTAATTTTAAAGGTTTTCCGGAGACCTTTATTGCTAATAGTAATAATCATTCCAATATACATGTATTCCTGAGCAACATGTCATTAGGCAGACGGAATCTTCATTGTTACAGCTGTTTCAGGCAGACGGAATCTTCAGTGTTACAGCTGTTTCAGCATTGAAAGCTACCAGAATTTCAGAACGATTACCGTCGTCAACTTGCTGTCTTTGGTGTCTCGTTGTTAAGTTCATGACAGTGAGTCACTCGAACAAACTTAATGCACAAATTAATGTTCAATATGAGCCCAATTTGGTTAATGACTGTATGCTATAAAAGTCACCAACAACTGTAAAGTGCACCTACCTGAAGTGAGAACAACTTAAGATCCTGTCGATCGGGCCTAATGTTAAGAGTTTAGGGCGGGGAAGCACAGAGAGGGTTGGGTCATGGATCCTACACACAAGGTGTGATAACGGCCCGTACTGGTGGCAAATACCATGAATACTTGTCAACAAAGGAAAACCTCTGCGCTGCGCGCGGCGGCTTTCGGATTTGCAGGGCTCTGCGTCCGATCCGGTGTCGAAGTCTGTCAAGCCAGCTGATTATATTTTTCAATATTTATGAGTCATAGTGGAGGGGGACTTCTTAGTACGGTTTGACCTTGGGCATAGAAATATGTAAAGGTCACATAAATATGTAAATATGAAAATATGTAGATATAAATATTAATTAAGGGATGTGGAAATTGTTAACACAGTTTGACCTAATGAATGGATGGGATGAATAGGGAATAGGTGTGGGTATAAGGAACCGGGTACAGTTTGACCAATTATATGGGAAAGATTGTATAAGGTATGGAAAAAAAAATATATTTTTATGGTACATTTGGATCTTAGCCCGAATATGAGTTTCATACGTTAGTCCCTGTGAACGACCAGCTGGTCGGATCTTTAATCCCCCAACAATAGACGGGAGAGGGCGCGTGCCAAGTCAGCGCACTAGTATTGTTACGAAGTTAATCCGATCGATACAAAAAGTAATTGGATTTCCGAATGCTCGACAGCAGAAAGCAGCGATAGATGGCAAAAATGAATGTTGCGTTGATCAGACTGAAACGAGTACGATTGTCTATTTGAAGACTTATTTTAAAGTCATTTTTATTGGGTTTATGGTATTGTGCACGTTGCGTTTTCCAAGGTATAAACAAAACACTCACCGCAGCATACTTGCAGGGTAAAACCTGTGTCGGCCATGGGGGTATATGATAAATCCACGATCCATAATCCATGCGTCTGTACGGAGACCGGTGGTCGATTACCCCTCGATGATCGCACCGATCCTGGAGCAAATAAATACCGATCCTGGAGCAAATAAATAACTCCGTCCGTGCTCATCCTACTCTATGCCGTAGAGTAGGATGAGCAGGGAAAAGAGTAGGATGAGCAGGGAAAAGAGTAGGATGAGCAGGGAAAAGAGTAGAGAGCAGGAGGAAAAAGAGTAGGATGAGCAGGAAAAGAGTAGGATGAGCAGGGAAAAGAGTAGGATGAGCAGGGAAAAGAGTAGGATGAGCAGGGAAAAGAGTAGGATGAGCAGGAAAAGAGTAGGATGAGTAGGAAAAGAGTAGGATGAGCAGGAGAAAAGAGTAGGATGAGCAGGGAAAGAGTAGGATGAGCAGGGAAAAGAGTAGGATGAGCACGGTAAAGAGTAGGATGAGCACGGTAAAGAGTAGGATGAGTAGGAAAAAGAGTAGGATGAGCAGAAAAAAAGAGTAGGATGAGCAGGGAAAAAGAGTAGGATGAGCAGGAAAAAGAGTAGGATGAGCAGAAAAAAGAGTAGGATGAGCAGGGAAAAGAGTAGGATGAGCAGGAAAAAGAGTAGGATGAGCAGGGAAAAGAGTAGGATGAGCAGGGAAAAGAGTAGGGATGAGCAGGAAAAAGAGTAGGATGAGCAGGGAAAAGAGTAGGATGAGCAGGAAAAGAGTAGGATGAGCAGGGAAAAGAGTAGGATGAGCAGGGAAAAGAGTAGGATGAGCAGGAAAAAGAGTAGGATGAGCAGGGGAAAAGTAGGATGAGCAGGGAAAAGAGTAGGATGAGCAGGGAAAAGAGTAGGATGAGCAGGGAAAAGAGTAGGATGAGCACGGTAAAGAGTAGGATGAGCAGGGAAAAGAGTAGGATGAGCATGGAATTAAGAGCGCACAGGCACGCAGAGAGCATGCGCAGGGGGGGGGGGGGTGGATGTGGAAATGAGCTCAAACAGACAGGTCTCGGCACAATATATATTAAACCAATTCATCCGTTTCTTGTCATTCGTGAATCAGCCTTTATAACTTCAACATGAATACTTTTTCTGCAGTCAAACCCCATGCTTGTAACCAGTGTGATAAAAGCTTTGGACGGAGATATAATCTCTGGCGACATACCGAAAACGCTCATGCTGAAGATGAATCTGAAATGAATGGGGTTAAAGGGAAAATACAACATTTGCAAACATCAAAAAATAAAAACTACCAAATCATTTTGAAATACCTTGCTGGACTGGTAGTGAATGACAGTGTAAAGCATCCTGTAAAATCATGGCACCTGGTAAACTGTCATTTTCAAGAAAATTGTATTTTTGTATCAATTTCCAACGCTGATCGGCCGATCAGCGTTGGAAAAAAACTGGCTTTTTTCAAATACTGGCCCCAGTTGACCATCGCACTTGTTTGCAATCGATTACACACCTATGAACGGGTACAAGCCAGCTAGACTGGTTCCCTGACCTTACAATTCCCCAATGTATGTAAACTGCTCTGTTTCTTCTTATATGGAGTCAGGGAACCAGACTACAGGAAAATGATTGTTTTCTTGGTTTTTATAGCATTTTTGAACCCAAAACCTCAAAAAAAGTCAGTGTATATATTTGCTATATATTTCCAACCCCCCAATTCCATCCATTTCTGAAAATTACAGCAAAAGCAAATGATGTATATTCCCTTTAACGATGATTCTGAAATTGAGGTTATTCAATCTGATCATCCTGACGTGGATGAATCGGGCTCTGAAACGGACTCGGAGGTAGAAGATGACGATGAAGATGAGTCTAGTTCTGAATTAGAAGACAATGCTACTTTCCAAGACTGGTTGGAAGAGTCCAAAGAAGCGACTCGTGAAATGTGGAGCGAAAAACATGAAAAGTACATCAACGAGGGTATAGGTGAAGATCAGGCCAAGGAAAAGGCCGATAGGAAGACCCTCTGGGCAGTCAAGCAAATTTTTTTTGACAAGTACAAGGATTTTTCTGTCCAGCTACCTACATCTGAAAGATAACGATACTCATCAAGATATTGTGGACAATCTCAAAGAAAAAAATTTATAAGGGCATTAGCGTACAAAAGGCTCTCGGCAGAATTATGCCTAAACACCAAATGAAATTTGACGGACTTTTCCATCAAGATGAAGAAGACGTCAGCGAGAAAGACAGTGATGATTAAAGACTAGTAGTCAACATTACAATGACGATATAATTGCGGCAAAATACATTGGGATAGACAAATAAAAACACGAGTGTTTTAATGAGAAATGACGTCAATAAAGCAATTAATGTCATAAACGTATATACTAATTTCTGCAGTTGTATTTTTCTTTGTTTGTGTTGTCTTAT